GGAAAAACAGTCATAAATCTCATCCTAGAGGGGTTGAGTCAGGGGTGATGCGCATCATGAAATCTATCTTCAAACTTGCCAAAGTTCCTCTGGTCAACCCTTTCAAAAAAGCTAAGACAGTAATGTCAAGCTCGAAAATAGCGAAAAACAACAATGTGGCTGGAATGGTTGATTGCCCAACATTGCTCTGCTGTCCTCATTGTAAACATGGCTTTCGACTAAGGATGGAACTTTCAGAGGTTAGGTCATTTGTTGGAGTTTTGCAGTTGCGTAGCATGAATGGCAACCAGGTGAAGACGAGAAACTCGACCCGACACCATTAGGAAAAAATTTTGAATTTCAAAAGGGAGATCACTGTAGCAGGCAAGAGACAATGGGAAACGACATAAAAAATTGTTGTTCGGACCTTGGCGCGCATAGAAGGATTATTAACTCTGGAAGTAGGCCTTGGGAGGAAAAAGGGAAATGGATTGAACTTGTCAGGCCCAACTGGGAAGCAAAAAAACTGAAAAGTTCAAGAAGGAGAAGCCCAAAGGTAAAATGAGTGTGGAGGCCAAAGAGAAAAGCTCCGGCCCACTCCACACCTTCAGTCTCTTTGTCTGTTGTTGACACAGAAACGAGAGAAGAGCTTGCTTAGGTCGCACCCGCGGCAAAACCCAACTTCGAGATGGAATCTGAAACGGAAATGGAGATGATTTATAGGGCTATTTTGTCATTGGCGACAATCTTCGACATAGAATCCAATTATACCAGCTCCCCGCTCCATCCCCTTGCTCTATCGTCTAGATTGGAGTTAGTCCTCGTCTTGGATCCCATTTGTGGTGCGCCCCCACTTGTGATCCAGAATGATATAGCATGTAATGTGTCTTACATTATCATATTAGAGCAATCTGCTGAAGTCAAGCTAGTGGAGCAAAATGTCAACATTGTATAGATGATAAATCGAATATATACTCCAGTTGGGTCCTGAGAAATATGCGACCAGTCAGTAAAACTCTCGGTGTCTCTTTTGATGGATTTGAAGCACAGGCCATGACATTATTTATTGAATTGGAAAAAGAATGAGGGAGAAAAAGAAAGGAGAAGAGTCGGCCAGTCGAGGGAAGACAAACAGAGTGAAGGTGGAGTTGACAAGAACATGTTGGTTGAGAAAGCTTATCATAAGCTAAATGGCATATTTGGAATATGTGTGACCGGACTACAGACTAGAGTGATGAATAT